TGAATTTGCTTGCTCAATTACAACATTTAAAAATGTCACATTCTACAACAAATCTTAAATGATCCCTGTTCCTCTGAACTATCCTTTCCAACTTGGGAATGTTTTCATTTTGGAGACAAAATGAACCCAAATCTAAATAATATTGTTATACCGTAACTGAATTTGCAACTTTATAGATAATGGATGTTACTGTAAATATGCTGTTACTTAGTGAACACCATTCATTTTATTTGAATTTAATAGAATTTTAACAAAGTAGTTTTCCGGGTTCATTCAGTTCTTCTATCTAAATATTATTGTATGCCTCTATTTTCTATTCATTGATAAATTAGTATTTCCTGGTTTATGTTGTCATTGCTTTTGTTTCCAATGTTCCATTCAGAAAAAAAAATATTCTTGCCAGGCGTGGTGGCACACGCGTATAATCCCAGCACTCAGGAGGCTGAGGCAGGAAGATTACTGTGAGTTCAAGACCAGCCTGGACTACATAGTGAGTTCCAGGTCAGTCTCAACAACACAGTGAGACCCTGTCTCAAAAAAAAAAAAAACAGAAAAAAATGTTCAGGAGCACACATGATGAATCTTAGGGAAATGTCATTTTCCAAGGCAATATCCTGATAGAATGTAGAGGTGGTGAATTATCCAACCTAAAATATTTTTCCACTATAAAATGTGATCTATTCTTCTCTTCTAAATTAAAAATATCTCCTTTCATTTTGTGCTTACTGGGAGGCCATGCAAGATTGATGGAGATATTAAATCCTAAAACTACAAGTGAAAAGCATCTAAATGTTTGACTTCAGTTGACTGTAAATGAGATTTATTACTTAATAGAAACATGTAGTATACAATGATAGTAGACCAAAAATATCAGATTAATTAAACTTATTCAGTATGCTATGGAGCCAGTGCATACTGCTGAGCTGTTTTTCTGTAGCACTATAATTTTATGATTTTAAATCCTAGGTAATAAAATTTTAAGCCTTGCATTTGTGTTGAAAGACATGATTTTTCCTTTTACTACCAAAAAAAAAAACCTACTCTGTTCTAGCACAAACTTATTAGATATCTACCCTCACAGTTTTATTTATTGATTTCTCAAAATCTGTGTTATGTTTTGTTTTACAACCAGCAGTATACCCCAAATGTTGAAAGATTTGAAACTGTTAAGCAACAAATCTGTGAATTTACAATGATATTCTATGTGATCCAGGAAATGTCATTTTAAGTGGTAAAATCAATATGTATTTTGGTTCATTAGGAAAGTACATAATGGCTATTTCTCAAATCTCTTCAGACTTTCTGTTTAACCAATGTGTATTGTGATGCCTCCCCTGAAGCACTTCTATATTTAGTTCTAATGGAACAGCCTTAAATTGCTTATTTCTGTTTACTAAATTCAGCCTGTTTGTTACCATGGAAATGATGACAAGTGCTCTTGCTAACTATTTTATTAAATAAATTGAAGATACAGCTACAACTGAAAGTATGGTATGTCATTATTAAAGCACATTTTTTCAGCAGTTTTAAAACCAGGGCCACTTTTATGTAAAATATGAAAGTAATTATGAATAATATCTTCTCCATCTCAAATTTGGTAGGCTATCCATATTTGAAAATCAAAATTATAACTAACACAAAGGCATCCCATACAAACAGTCTGTGTTCTAAAAGTGTATTTGTAAATCAGTTCTTTGGCAACTAGAACACATTTGCTCATTGACATATTTTTGCAAGTCGTAATTAAATCTCCAAACCCACCCTCAAAACCTGTTCTTTATGATGCTGTCAGTCTGGAGTAGTGTAGTATGCCAAGGATGTGGCTACGTGGTTCTGAGGCCTTCCTCGAAAGTGCAAGGGCCTGAGTTCGATCCCTGGTACCCCCCCAAAAAATTATAAAATTTTAGAGTAGTGTAGTGGATCCCACAGTACATTTTGTTATCAGCTCTAGCAACAGGCTCTGGCAGTAGGGACCAGAAGAAAGGGATGGCTTATCTCTTACTTGCTTCCTTTTATTTATTTGTTACCTTTTTTTGCACCAAAATTGAACTCAGGATGTTGCACTTGTGAGTCAGGCACAATGCTGTTGAGCTAAATCCCCGGCCCTTGCTTCCATCTTAACAGTCAGATGTGAAGGACATCGTTTTGGAACAATAATGTCCGCTGGCCTTTGTGAATGCCAGGGATTCCAACTTCATTCTTCAGTTGCCTGCCAATGACCCTGCGTCCAGCCTCTGAAGTTTCTGCCAGATCAGCCTTGCTTTTAAATTATTTCTCTCTCTACATTGAACTATTACTCTCCACCAGATTAGAAATGATCTCAGACAGTTAAAAACTCAGAATATACACGCTTTTCTGTGAGAGCAAGAACTCTGCCTAGAGTTATTGTATTTAAAAAATAGAAGAGGTGGTCCAAAATTCTAGAGAACAGTATACAATAAAAAACACATGGCCATTAATCCCCCCTCAAAACACTTCCACCCTCTTGAAACACATGTAACCCATCTTTCTTGCCACTTTCTATAGCAGGTCTTCAAACCTTCCCGCATGTGTGTCTTTCTAATTCGAATCAAATGGTAAATGCTACGACCAAATGCTTTTCAGTGGAAAAGCAGGTCAGTAAAATATTACAGAACGTCATCATCCGCCCTAGTTACTATCTCACACTGTGCAACGTAGAACTTCCGGTTCTTCTCCAAAATCAAAATGACCGTGAAAAGTAAGTATTTTGGATTGACCGAGGATATTGAGACAGCTGGACAATGTAGCTGAAGACACTCAAGCAAAAGACTTCCAGAACTCCTTCAGAAAGCAGCAAGCAAGAAAGAATAACATGTTTAAACAGAGGGCAGCATTTTGAGGGGGGATTAATGGCAATGTGTCTTTTATTGTGATACATTTTTATGTAAACACACACAATATTTTTCATCACAATTCCTACAATACCTTAGAGCCCCAGCAGATCTTCAGCTTGGAGATTTGTATTACTATGACAAGAAAAGTTCAGATATTGAGGATGTGAGCAAATGGCTTTCAGGGAATACTACAAGTAATCTTAAAAGGGAATGTTCCATATCAGTGGTCATTCGAGAGATGCAGATGGAAACACTGAGATTCCACCTCACCGCACAAAGAATGGCTGCTATCAACTAATCACATAATAACAAATGGTGGCGGGGTTATGGGGAGAAAGGAACCCTTCTCCATTGTTGCTGGGAGTGCAGACTGGTGCAACCACTATGGAAATCAATATGGAGGTACCTCAAAGAACAAGGATTAGAGGTTCCCTTTCACCCAGCCATCCCTCTGCTGGGTATCTTTCCAGAAGAATTAGAAGAATCATATCACAGTGATATATGCTCACCTATGTTTATAGCGGCACAGTTTGTAATAGCTCAAACTTGGAAACAGCCCATTTGCCCATCAGTTGGAGACTGGATAAAGATGTGTTTTTTCTATAAAGTGGAATACTACTCAGCCATAAAGAATGAGAAATTAGAGTCATTAATAGGAAAATGGACATATATTGAGGATGTACTCCTAAGTGAAATAAATAAATCACAGATGTATAAATACCAAATAGTTTCTCTGGTGTGAAAAACTATAATGGTTCATAAAATCCTAATGGGATGATTGACAATGTGAAATAGGAAGAAAAGGGCTAAAAGTGTAGGGGAAGTGGGAATGGTAGGGGAAAGGAAATAAAAGAAATAAATCTAATAATATTTGTTGTTTAAATTAGTGGCTATTACCTCTATATATCATTGAAAAGAAATATAGTGAACAGCGTTATGCCTTATCCCTGATATTTGAGTAAAAGCCATTAGGTTTTTCTATTCATTCAAGTGAGGGTATATAGCTTGAGTTTTAGGTGGTTTCTACTTTAAGGATATTGCCGTTTATTACAGTGTGTGCACAACTTTGCACAATGTTTTGTCTACATTTCTGGAAACCAGTGCATCATTTCTTATTTGTGTAGCATTTTACAAAATGAAGTTACTAGCATGGAACCATTCTTATACACCCCTAAAATCAAATTCAGACATGATAGATTTATGAGAAAATGAAAAAGTGCTAATAAAGTATTGGTAAACAGGGAAGGAAGGAGGGGATGCAGGGAGGTCAGGGACAAGAGGAAAAAAAAAGAAAATCAAGACCTGTTATGTAAAGGTACAGGATCCCAATGGGGAATGTAACTGAATGGTATACCTAAAATGTACCAATAAACTGAATCAGACAAAAACAGAATCAAAAACAAAAAAAGGGGATCCTTGACATCATCTCAGCAGAGAATACTCGAAGTCATCTCATTCAGAAGACAGATGATTTCAAAAATGTTAAAGATAAATGGTGGTAGCTAAATATAGTAAAGGATCAAATTAACAGTATTATATAGACAAAAATGTTGTTCATTTTTTCTAACAAATTAAAAATAAAAGTAAAATATTGTAATTTGGGTAATGCCAGTTTTGCATGATTGTTGAAACATATCCAAGATGGAATAGACAGCTTCTTATTCTATGTCCAAGAAATTGAAGGAGAAAAAATATATAATTAGCTTAATGGTAAAAGATGAGTTACCTTCATTGTTTTCTTAACTATATCTTATATATATGTTCATATTTCATATAAATATATAACGAAAGTCTGAGAGATGTTTTTCTAGAAACTTAAAGAATACTTTTTCATTTCTATAGTAACTGTTACAGTAACTGGGGTGGGTGTGAAATCTAATAGAATTCCATATTCTGTTTTTCCACAATAAAATAACTGAATTAGCCTGTAAAATATTTGTGTATCTTTCTTCATATATATATATATATATATATATATATGCAATATATATATGCAATAAAGTATGAAGCAAAATAAATTATTTTTATTAAATTTCTGCAGTTAATACAGAATTTTCTGTAAGAGAGTATTTTAAATTTATTTTTACTAACAGCACAAAATGAAGGCACATTTTTTTACCTAACATTCATGTTTCATCTCCCTAGGGTCTACTTTCATTTGTAACACTCACATAATTCCCGTGAAAAACCAAGAGGGTGTGGCTATGATGTTCATCATTAATTTCGAATATGTGACGGACGAGGAAAATGCTGCTTCCCCACAGAGGGTAAACCCAATATTACCAGTCAAAACTGTAAACCGTAAGTAAAGGCAACATTTACTTAAGGCTGCTGAAGCTCTGCTGCTATAGCAATTTTAATCCATTCTTCACATTTTTTATTTATACCTAAATAGATTTATATTTGGAGGAATATAGTTTTATACAAGAAAGTTATAGCTGATGTTCTTCATTAGTGCCTTACTAAATACATAAATTGTTCTGGAAGGCATTTGGATTGTATATAAAATAATTTATTTCACCAATCCCCAACAGAAGGATATTTAGTTTGTCCCCAAAGTTTAGCTGTTAAAAATAATATCAGAAGCCAGGGATTTAGTTTAGTGATTCTGGTGACTGCCTCGCAAGCCCAAGGACCTGATTTCAATCCCAAGGTACCAAAAAAACAAAACAAAACAAAAACAATATCCCGAAATTTTGCCTATATATTTTCATGTGGATATATGTATTTTCTAGACAAAAGTCTTTTCAGGGTCCCTGAATGGGATTCCTGGGTCAAAGGGTACCTGCATGGCTAGGCTCTTCAGATACTCTCAAATTTCCCTCCACAGAATTGGAATGATTTTATGCTGTCACCTAGGACAAGAGAGTGACACAGTCTTCTAGACTTTTGTTATTAAGATACATGAGACGTAGTTTTAGATTATATGTCTTTTTATTAATGAGGTGCATATATTTATTTACCATAGGCATTTTTTTTTTTTTTTTTTTTTTTTTTTTTTTTTTTTTTTTTTTTTTTTTTTTTTGTCTTGAGACAGGTCCTCCCTACATAGTTCAGGCCAGCCTTGAACGCACTATGTATCCCAGGCTGGCCTTGAACTCTGGGCCATCCTTCTGCCTCTGCTCGTTAGTGTTGGTATTACAGGGGTGCGATACCATGCCCAACCAAATGTTCATTTCTTTACCCATTTTGTTCCACACTTTTCTCATGTCAGTTAGTAAAATAAGTGGCAAATAGCTTCCCATAAAATAATTTGTCTTATTTTTCCATGATTTGTGTGGAAGAAAGAAGTTTTTCTTTGCTATATGGTTTATTTGGTGATAAAGCCACTTAAACCTTTTCTTTCATTTTTTATGAATTTTTTGAGTCGAGAGAAAAGCTCTCACCACATCAAGGTTGTAAATAAATTCACTTTCCTTTTTTGGAAATTGTAGTTTTTTAGGATTTCTACTCCATTTTAAATTTACTTTGATGTGTAGTACAGATGCACAATTTTTTTATCAATGGCTTTCTAGTTGTTCTAACATCATTTATTGAAAACTATCTTTTTCCCAATATTTTATGATACCAGAGCAAACTTTATCACACACTAAACTTGCTTAATTTCTTTGAGTCTTGCTCCAGATTCTTTCTGTCCTGATGGCTATTTATTGTTAGAATCACATTGTTTAGTACATATGATTACTGTTTGTTAAGGCATACTCCTTTAAGGTTGATATTCATTTCTACAAGCTTGGGGATTTTCTCATTTCCATATGAACTTTAGAAAAGCCCTTTTGAAATCCTGAACAAAATCTTTTTGATATTTTCATTGTTTTTCTATTAACTTCATGAATTAATATGAAAGGAATGTCTGTCACCGTTATATTGAGTAGTTCAGTTCAAGAATATGGCATGTGTTTTCACTTTTAAGTCTAAGATTGTATCTTTCAGGAATACTGAATATTTTTTCTCATGAGATTAATTTGCCTCTTGGCATTTACATTTTTTTGTTGCTATTATAAATGGGATCTTCCCTTTTCTTCTGTCTTCTAACTAATTTTTGTATATATAAAGACAGTTGATCTTTTGTTACTTTCATACCCTCTTATAGTTAATTCTCAGCTTACAGTTGCTTATACATTGACTCTCATGAGTTTTTAAAGTATCAGATGAAACAAAGGTTGTTTTATGTGTTTTTCTTCCAAGTTTTATAAATCTAATAGTTTTTTGTTGTTTAAATTTGTGGCTATTACCTCAATATATCATTAAAAAGAAATATAGTGAACAGTGTTATGCCTTATCCCTGATATTTGAATAAAAGCCATTAATGTTTCCTATTCTTTCAAATGAGGGTATATAGCTTGAGTTTTAGGCAGTTTCTACTTTAAGGATATTGCCGTTTATTACAGTGTGTGCACAACTTTGCACAATGTTTTCTCTACATTCCTGGAAACTAGTGCATCACTTCTTATTTGTGTAGCATTTTATAAAATGAAGTTACTAGCATGGAACCATTTGTATATCCCCCTAAAGTCAAATTCAGACATGATACATTTAATTTTGCTACATGCTATTGGAGTTCTATCTAGTGTTAATTTGAGATTTCCAATACTTGTTAGAAAAATTGTTCTGTAATTTTTGCAGATATACGTGATCTTTCCTTAGTTGTTAGGATCAATGTCATAATTCACTCAAAAATAGAATTTCTTCTAGATTTTTCATTCTGAGAATTATTTAAATAGCTTGATAATTATGTAGACTTAAAAAATTTATTGTGACTGCTCTGTGAAATTTTCCAGGGTTAGTTTTTATTTGCGAAGTAGCTCTTCAACAAATTTCTTTTTCTACTTTTCTACTCCAATTAACAATCTTAACTGATACCATTTTTGTTACATTCAATTTTCCTAGAATAATTTCATATAGATTTGTAAAATTTGTTTTAATTGAATTTTGCAAAGTAGTCTTTATAGTGCTTTTAAGATTTCTTCTGTTCCTAGTTCTTTCCTTTTTGAAATTTCTCATTTTTCAATATTCTCCATTTAAAATTACTAACTCTATCCAAAAAGCTAATTTTAAAAATTGTATCATTATATTTCAGGTATACAATGTTACATTCATCGTTGGAGATTTGTATCTTTACATAATATAGATTGTTTCTTACTTTTCCCCATATCTTACCCTCCCTTTCAGGGCTCCACACTCCCCTATGTACAACCTCTTTGTTTCCATTTTTTCATTTTCTCGTGTTAATCCCATTCCCCTCTTTTCTATCCCCTACTCCTCCCACTCCCCCTTCCCCTTTGGTCCTTTTCTTCCTATTTCACATTATCTCTTATACCTTTGGTTCTAATTTATACACTTTCAGTTTCTCATGGATTAGGTAGCAAAAAGCTACATTTGCATTCCTTTACTAATTCTACAGTTTTCAAATGCCAAAACTTTTCTTTCATCTTTGTAAATTTAGATTTGTAAGGTTACTTTGTGGCTTGCTCTGCATTGTAATGAATTTTATATTCTCCTCATTTTTTGATGTACAATTGTAAGGCCATGTATTTTTCTCTCAACACTGCGTAAGCTTAACCATACTCTATAGACTCATTTATGTGACATTTTCAGCATTCTTATAAATATATAGAACTTGAATTTCCTAGTTTTTAACTTATGAGTTCTTATTTTTCTATTAAAAGTATTTTTATTTTATTTTTGTCAAGCTTTGGTCTTAATTTCTATGAGCTATAAAATACTGTATTAATCTCCTTTTGAAACTTTCTAGAAGTTGTTTTGTATCATCATCAAATTTTTTATTTTTTCTTATGAAAATGATAAGTATATGAACAAAAGTTGGTATCTCTTTTTAAAATTCTACCTTATTATTATGTCTTCTTTATCCATATATATATCCATATGTATCTCCATATATATATTATCCATATATATATATATATATATAATATATATCATATATGTCTTCTGGATATGTCTTGAACATCAAAAAGTATATAAAAATCTTCCATTTTCATGATATATCTATTTCTCTTATGTTTCTTATAATTAAGTTTTATTATTATTATTGCTACATTATTTATTTCATAGAAATTCTTATTTCATAGATATTTATATGGTTTACATTATTACTATAGCTAGTCTTTACCATTAGAAGATATTTTGTTTTATTTAATTTTTTCATCTTAATTCTATAGTATCTTAAATCATGACACTTGAATCTTCTTTATCCATTTTATTGCTGAATTTTTATGCTCTACTTTTAGTCTTTGTTTTTGTTATCATTTTTTACAAAGTATGAAGTTAGTTTTTTCTTTGTTACTTATAGGAAAATGATACTTAATAATAAGTGATAATAATAATAATGGGTATTTACATTTGGTGATGAAACTGATTCTCTTCTTAGTACTAACATATTCTATTAGGTTTTTTTTTTTTTGTATGTCTTGTATTTTGATTTTTTATTTTTGACTTGGAGATAGGGTTCTGCTATATTGCTAGACCTGGCCTCAAATTTCTGGGCTCAAGTAACTCTACTGACTCAGCCTCCCAAGTGATACAGAACTATGTTTAGCTTCCTATTCTATGTTGAATATTCTCAAAATATTTCATTACGTTACTTTTATATTCCTCTTTATCCCTGTGTTTCTCTTGCTGTTTTATCTTATGTCTCTTTTCTTTTGATAAATGGTAAACTTTGCATTATTTTCTAGTGGTTTCTTTATAAAAAATATTTTTTCGCAGTTTTATGGACTGTCATGTTTAGAATTCTGCAGTTTATATAACTTAGATTGCTTCTAAACAACTGTATAGAATATCTCTAATCTCTCTCCTTTTTCCTCAAAATATATTTTGATTCCCTCCTTAGAGCAAAAGAAAATGAGTTTATGTCTGAGTCCTCTTCCCGTATGTGATTTTAAGAAAAAATAGTACTTTTCTTAAGTACTTGTCTTTGTGTTCTTACACATCCTTAGTATTTTAACATTCAGTTTGTCAGTTTTACCACAGCATTTGACTCTCATCTATTTCCAGTAAGGTGTTCAATTAGTGAAAGGTATTCAATGCTTACACCCATCTTTTTTTCAGTTTGCTCATGCATAACTTTCAAGACAAAATGTATCTTCTCCAAGAAATTTGAACAGTAAAAATATTTTCAGTTATTTCATGTACGACACTGTTTTTCCACACTCCTGTCATGTGAAAGACAGCCCAGGTACATAGGATCCATTTGGTCCACACTGTGCTGCCTTCTGACTTGGAAGACTCTGTTCCATTCCTTTCTTTCATTAACTGCTGCTGACAAGGATTCTGGTACC